AGTAGTGCTAGTATTAATAATCTCTCCTCTAGTCTGGGTGCCTTATCTAATAATGTTCGAAAAGAGGCTCGCAACTTAGGTGTAGTTTTTGACTCAGAACTGTCCTTTGATGTTCAGGTGACTAAAGTGTTGCAGTCTTGTTTTGCACAACTGAGGCAACTAACGAAGATAAAGTCATTCCTTTCTTTGGCAGATTTGGAAAAGGTCATTCATGCTTTTATTTCTTCCAGACTTGATTATTGTAATGCACTTTATTCCGGTATTAGCAAGAGAAATCTCCTAAGATTGCAGCTGATTCAAAATGCTGCTGCTAGGCTTTTAACACGTACTAAGAAAAGTGACCACATTACACCGATTCTTGCTGCTCTTCACTGGTTGCCTGTGAGTTTTAGAATTGATTTTAAGATTTTGTTGCTTGTTTTTAAGGCCTTGAAGGGTCAGGCTCCTGCCTATATTTGTGATTTATTATTTCCTTATGAGCCTGATCGCTGCTTGAGATCTTCCGGTAGGGCCCTATTAATGGTTCCAAAATCTCGACTTGTTACCAAAGGTGACCGCGCTTTTGCTATCCATGTGCCTAAGCTATGGAACTCCCTGCCTGGGGATATTAGGCAGGCTCCTACTGTATCCACTTTTAAGTCTCTTCTTAAGACTCATTTTTATCGTATGGCTTTTTCTTAATGTTGATGGTATTTTTTGTATTTTGTTACTGCACTAATCTTTTCATTGTAAAGCACTTTGTAACTTTGTTTTGAAAGGTGCTATATAAATAAATGTTTACTTACTTACAGGATTTTCCATATATATGTTGGTAACTTAGGGGTCCTAATCCTTCAAACTACTATCATAAATTCTGAGCAGAGTTGTTCTACTTAAAATTATATTTGGAAACTGTGATACTTTTTTCTTCAAGGAATCTTTGATGAATAGAACAGCATTAATTTGAAATAGAAAACTTTTGTAACAAACTTCACTGTCACATTTGAGCAATTTAATGCATGAGTGTTGAATAAAAGTATAATTTTTTTTTTTAAAGATGATTACTCTTATATGGTTGAACTGATAATTTATTGTAAAATTTAGGGAACCTCAATATGCAGCACGTTTATGGTAACAACGTGTTATGAACACATTTGCACCAAAGAAAATACACATGTATTTCCATATTTTCTACCTTCTTCTCCAGACATTCTGCAAACTTCAGTTGCTTCAACAGCTTCTTGTGTTTGTTGCTGAAGCGGTTATCCTGCTCCGCACTGGTGCCCTGAAACAACAAGAATTCACAATTAAAACAATATATGATATAGGAAATTCCTATTTTTCTGCATTTGAAGTTAACATACAATTTGCAGTACGAGACAGAAAATGAATTACTTCATTTGAGTAGGACATTGACACGGGTGTAATATTTAACGTACGTATACACACACATATAAATCTTCGGTTCCAGATGTATACCACATTATTATTATTATTATTTTCCTTTGTCTTATTTAAATGTTATTTCTGTTTTCAGTGTCATATATGTATGTATGTATGTTTGTACTAAGAGTTCCTAAAAATATACAAATTCCTTGCGTGTTTGCACACACTTGGCGAAGAAAGCTCATTCTGATTCTGATACACGATTACACGGCTTGCTATCGTATAAGAACATGTTTTTTTGCCGGGCTGGGTTTCGGTTTCAGCCTGTATTTTAATTTAACTACGCAAACCAGAGTACAGTTGACTGTATAATGTTATAGTGGAATTTATCTGTAAGAATAAGTGCGATACTGTGAAATTCAACGCGCTGGGATCCTTAAATCCGTTGTTCCCGTTTAATCTGTTGAGTACGTTCTGGTTCTCGCACGCAGCCGCCATTACAGCCGCACTCCAATGAACATACGAAATACAGCCTTAAAACAACCAACTAATCAGCCAGCTGACAAATAACACATGCAAAACAACGTATTTGACCTTTATATTGCGATAGTTGTAAAAGAATATTAGACTTACGCGGAAAAACCCCGCGTCCATTTCTATCGTCTGTCAATATGGCACGATGTCCCACAATCCACTGCGACAGCCTCAACCTCACTTCCTGTGCCTGTTCAAATCTAATAAATACTACCTTGAACGTTTTTTGTTTTTATTTTTAATTTAGTGTCATGTTTCATAATATACTGAATTAATCACGAAAATATAAAACAAAATATATTTCATTTTATTTTTGTTCGTTTGTTATTTTTGACTACTGCAGAGGTCACAATGAACAAAGACATACATAAACTGTTTGCTGTATTAAAGCCATTTATTTGACATACACTGCAATTTTCCACCAGTTCTTTTTGAGATTCATTAACAACTTTTGAGGTTAAATGATAAGTGAAAATTAATGCAGTTTCAACTTTTAACACTGAAATCACACTTGCTTTTGGAAGAAAGGTGAGTCATTGTATATATCGTCTTATATATCTTAAACATCTTATATATTGATTAGTCATTTTTATTTGTCTGCACCAGTAGCCTATACAGAAGGCATACTAAAGACTTTCAGAGGGGCCAAAGCCAAAGAACACCCCCTTTACTCCTGCAAGGCTTTGGGTGTTTTATCCAGTAGTTTTGCTCTTCTGAGTTAACAAAAAATGTGTAAAAAAAAAAAACTCTTAGTGTATAATAATACATCAGCAATGCTGAGTGATTAAGTACTTAATTCACACCACCAAACTATGCATTGTGAACCCAGAGCCCTTTGATAACGGACTCTAAATAAATAGCCAATGCAGACAATAGTGGGTTTAACAGAACCCAAAATTCAGGCAACTGTGATTTCTTCAGCGATCGCAGCTGGAACAAAGGCAATCTTTTGATTTACACTAAAGGTAGTAGTGGTTTAAAGTATTTTCTGCCCATGGCTGTGTTCAAACTGAGACAATTCCTCTTGTACACAATACATTGAGTAGTCTAGAGCACAGAGTGAGGTGTCTAGTGTTCCTTATTGTATTTGAACAAATGGAGCATCTATGGAGTCAAAATTCAACCCCTGCCAAAGAGAATGGTATGATTGGTTAGGATTAGAAAGCAGTGTTTTAGTTATAACATCAGATCATTGAAAGTGTTGAAGGGCATGTTCGGGCCAGCCAGAATTTTTCTTGGTGCTGACCTTGTTATTTTAATACAGTGCATGGTGATTCTAAAATAATTAAATTACAGTTTCATCTATAATGTGTGCAATAATCAGCGGCGCCGCTATGGTTTCTGGACCCCCTGAACAGCATACTGACTCAGGCCCCCTCCGCAATCGCATTCCGGGGGGGTGGGGTCCCGCTTGGTAAAAATCGTGTTCCAGGCCACCTCTCCCTCGTCAGGACCTTTGGAATCGTCCTAACCTCCCCCCAGCAACGGCCGCGCAGTCCCTGAGAAGACCTGCTAGCTGGCAGGTAGTCCTGCATTGTTTTTTTCACGGATGGAGGCCAGCATGTCTGTGACCAGCTCTGACAGGCCATACGCAGGCTTCCAGCCCCAGTCCTGACGTGCGTTAGAGTCATCAAACCGCACTGGCCAGCTGTCCGCTATAAATTGAACATTACATTTTATGAACATTTAGATCATTGCAAAAAGTTTTTCTTTTCATTATACAAGAAAAACACATACAGATAGACAATGACCAAGATAGGAATTATTTCTACAATTAACCACAAACATTAATATTAAAGGAATAGTTCACCCAAAAATGAAAATTTGCTGAAAATGTACTCAGCCTCAGGCCATCCAAGATGTAGATGAGTTTGTTTGTTCGGTGTAATTTGGAGAAATCTGGAACATTCACCTCTGCAGTGAATGGGTGCCGTCAGAATGAGTTCAAACAGTTGAACATCACAATAATCCACAAGTAATCCATACGACTCCAGTCCATCAATTAATTTCTTGTGAAGTGAAAAGCTGTTTGTAAGAAACAATCCTCTGTCCATAATATTTTCTCCAGTGAAAAAGTCATTTTGTCAGAAACAGGAGAGAAATATGCGCGCGCAGGCATCCGGTGCGTGAGGTGTGTACGCGCTCTGGCGTAGTGGAAACCTTACATTGTTACATTATAAAGGCAGTCATATAGCATAAACTGAATTTTCCCACCTGTGATATTGATGGTGCGGGCAAGAGCCATGTTAGCTTCCCCGACAGCACTGAGTAATGCGCTGTAATGCACCAGCCAGGTGATTCTGTTATTCACAACTAGCTCCCTCAGGTTTTTATAGTCCAGCACATCAGCATATACAAATGGACCTGGAAGGAGGATCACCAATCAGACATTGGAAGTTAAATGAGAGCTTTATTCATAGGCTACAGCATTTAGAGCGTGAATCTAAGTTAATACAGGTTAGTCTATTCTTGTTAATTCATAAATATACTATTGCTTATAGTTAAATTAATGTTTGAAATACAGTTATGGTCATTTATTCAACTAGAAATGTTTAAAATGCATTAATATTCGCTACTGTTCAAAAGTTGGAGTTGTTACGCTTTTTTAAAGGGGTCATATGATGTTGCTAAAAAGAACATTATTTGGTAGTACAGGAGCTCAGTATCGGGCCCGATACCGATGCATCCCTAGTAAAAGCAAAGCTGAATTTTCAGCAACCATTACTCCAGTCTTCATTGTCACATTATCCTCCAGAATCGTTTTGATCAATTTAAAGCATCCTTGCTTAATAAAAAAAAGTATTAATTTCTAAAAAAATAAATTAATTAAATAAAAAAAGAACGGTATTGTTATTGTAGAGTTCTTATTGTAAGAATTCTCATAATTAATAAATTATTTTTTAAATTGTTATTTCATGTTAGCTATTTCATTAATCGATGTTAACATATGTTAACATTGTACACTGTTACTGAAATGTATTTGGAGAATTTAAATATAAGAGCCATGTGATTAAAAAAAAGCTCCTACTGTAAACTTTAAGTCAGTTTATGGCACCACACTCTACATGTGGCTCTATATATGTTGCAAATGATACAACCGCCTGTCTGTCCATATCAGAGCTGTTACATCTCTCTCAGTGTCAACATACCCATGTTATAAACTTCAGTGGGAGGCCTCCTAATGTCCGACAGGATGACGTTTTCCTTTCCATACTGCTTCCTGATGTAAAAGGAATATTATTCATAATTAAATTAAATAAACAACAACAAAGTTAAATGATCTTTCGGTTTTTACAGAATTATAAAGAATCTACCTCAGAAAATTAAAAAAGGTTACAACAAACATCTATGCAAAGACCAGGCAAATATCCAATCTACGCAAAGTTGCAAAAACTGTGTGTTCTGGAGTCTGATTTCAAATTTCTCCCATGCAGCACATCTTTCAGCTGTTCACTAACCTCAGCATTTGAGCTAGTCCAACTCCAAGCTGTCCCAGGCCACCTGTAACAGGAGAAAAACACTTTCAACAATGAAAGGAGCTTAAACACACCATAGCAGCAAACATTTTACAACCAGAAACTTCACCACTCACAAAGCCACAAATTAGCACCAAGTAAGCAGAATAAATTCCATAAATCTAATTATGAATGAAAAATGTTACTGCATTATTTTTAAAATGAAAACCCCTATACTGGAGGCCAGAGGTACAGTAAATGCACAATAAAACAAAACATGATACCATACATAATATGTGATCAACTCCAGTAGACAACTAAAAATAGAGTTTATATTACAGTGACTACTTTAGACTGATGCCTAAAACATAGGATTATTGTATAGAATTTAGTAAGGACTCATATGACAGCGTTTGTAGTGTGTCTGCAAATCAGTGCACACGCAAATGAAATAAGCACACAAAAATGGCAGTGGCAGTTTCAAAAACAGGCCTAAGTCATTTTAAATAAGCTCCGTTATTGTTATTGTCCAGACATTTTCCAGCTCCACTTCGACTGACAATCTGTTTACTCACTCTGTTGCACAAGCATAAAACAGCCGCGCGCTCCATTGTGCGCACGTGGAGCGCTTTTAACGCTGTTTATTCCCAACCTATTGTCATGGCGATCAATGGGATTGTCTCTTACGAGGCACGGAAAACAAACACAGAAGACGTGATGCAAGAGAGATATTTCCACCAAAACATTAGTTTGTCACACGTTATTTAAGCAGCTGGGAAACAGATGGCACCTGTGATGAGGACTCGAGGACTGTCCGTAGGAGGCTCGGAGGACTCGTTGCTCGGCCATCGGTTGATCTGACGCGGCGATAAACTCATGCCGCGAACCGACCAACCTTTACACAACGAGCGGACACACGACCGGACACCTGACAGCATGTCGTTTATCTGTCAGTTAATAAACATATCAGTTAACCGAATGAACGGGTCAGAAAGTACACATCATAACAATTGTACTTTTTTCTTTTTAGTTTTCGCTAATCTGACGGCCAAGTCGTTATTTCACCTTTAAAAGTGAATCGACTGATACACGAACAATATGTAAATCAGTGGTTCGGGGAAAAGCGCATTATCTCACCTTGAGCTTATCAAAACGTGAAATCCGTGACGATGTGAAACACACGTTTTGCACCAAAATCACAACATTGCTGTGGTGTATCCGGAGGTGGAAAATTAAGTAAATAAATGCTGATAAGAGGGATTTTCATGGTATTTAACCGTTAGAATTAAGAGATTACGGTCCGATTGGTTGCCAGAAGAGCGCATCGAATGACCATTGGATAAACATGCTGACGGAGCAGAGAATGCTGGGAAATGTAGTTTTATCATTGTACTAGCGGGTACGGTCGCGTGATAATGATTGCGGTGTCCATTAGCGCTACAAGAGGGCAAACTTGCTGACGGGCTGCCCACTCCGGATTTATATTGTGTAGGTGAGTTTAGCTGAGCTGGGGCTTTACACTGATGACTTCATTGGCTGGTGAAATGTTATTGTTTGTGTGCGCGTGCGCAGATTCCCCTTTTTAATAACCAAGTTTCATATTGAAATTTTAAGTATTTTAATATAATGTCAAACACTTCAAATAATAATATAATATAATATAATATCCAAATAGGAATATTATGGTCGTAAAATAAATATAAATTCTAAAATTGAATCAAAATCAAATACAACACTCTGCTTGGACACATTTTAACACATTTATTGGACACATTTATTGATAATAATTGAATAATAATTCACTGGCCCCCATGTTAGATTATACAAATCACTACTGTATAAATGGTAGCAGATTAAAAACAAAGGAATTCACTACATAAGCATTTTTTGACCACACATTTTGATAGAATTGGTGACATTATTTTCTTGTGCCCCAGTTAATTTATGACCCTTCTCAGAAGCATCAAGTAAGTAAGGATTATGTACAGTAATGTTGCATCATCTCCAAGGCGTTTATTTCCTAAGAATGACCAGCTGACTACATGATCCTTCTTATAACACTGCTACTTTGAGTTTTGATTCTCCATTTCCCAGGATGAGCTGCTAGTTCACCCAAAAATAAAACTTCTGTCATCATTTACTCACCCTCAAGTTGTTGTATGAGTCTCTTTCTTCTGTTGAACATTAAAGAAGATATTTTGAAGAATGTGGGTAACCAAACAGTGTCTGGTCCCCATTGACTTCCATAGTCTTATTTTTATAATATGGAAGTCAATTTGGACCAGAAACGGTTTGGTTACCCACATTCTTGAAAATATCTGCTTTGTGTTCAGCAGAAGAAAGGATTTCATACAAGTTTGAAACAATTTGAGGGTAAGCAAATAATGACAAAATGTTCATTTTTATTTAGGGGTGAACTATCCCTTTAACGCTAAATCCAGCGATTAACCAATCAGAATCAAGTATTCCAGAGAGTGGTGCATGTTCCAATTGCAAATGCTGTTTGTAACTTCTCAAGCATGATTAAACATCACCTTCTGGTAGGTCAAAAATTTCTCACATTCACCCTTATTCAACATTCAGCTGTCTAACAGTGTAAAAAATGTTTACAATAAAACATCATGACTGATGCTGTCTCTTGAAACCACAGTAAATTCCAAAATCAAACTACTCAAACACAATACAATAAACACATATTTTCCCTATTTGGGACTGTTTACATTATCATTTTGCTTGAAAGTCAAGACAGAAGGCTGTAATGCCAGTATGTCTGATTATTATTCAATGATAGCTTTCGTAAATGCCGGTATATCTGATTTGCGGTGACAGGGCTGGATTGGTAATCGGGCATACCGGGCATTTTCCCGGTGGGCCGACGCACCTACACTGTAAAAAATGATATGATGAAAAAGCCATGACAATTTATGTTTTTAAGTTGCTTTAACTCATAAAAATAATTTAAGCAATTTCAACTTTTTTTTATAAGTTATACTAGATTCAACTTGATTTTTTAA